TAATATATTTTTGCACTTGATATTCTGCGCTTCTATAGATGAGTAACTGTTATCTCAAAAACTAAGAAGAATTCCAATTGTGAAACACTTTCAGAACGTTTATCGTCATTACATTATCCTGACTGTAGATAAAGATTGATTCTAACCTTATCTACTTGAATGTAATAGAGAGTTGCTCTCTGAAAAATTCGATAATTTTTCTACAGTTTAATTTCACCTGGACATAAAAAAAAGTCAACCAAAGTAAATTTAAAAGATTAAGGTAACACTGATTGATTACTTTCCAGTGACCTTTATCCTGTGCGTGATCGAATCAGACAGATGGAGGGAGAAGGATATCGCGTGGACATGTAGTTAGTATGGTGAGAGGAGCGATGAGCGATAGATCCTCTACTACGTAAGTCGTGTATACCAGTAAGCATTGAGTATATCTATGTACGGCGCGTCTCCTCTCCTTGTCTTCCCCAGCACTCGGGCACGTTCAAGAACCCGAGCGTCCTTCACTTCGGTTAAAAAAATCGCAGTGGCTGGTCTATTCTCCCTGCACTACAGGTCCTAAGCAGAACGCTGATTTTTCTGCTGGTGCACTGCTCTACTCCTATCGATCTCGGCCTTAATAGTAAGTAGACATTTTGTTTTTGCTTCAAGCATCTTCGCTGCTCTAAAAAATCCCGAAAAGCTATTTTTCCAAGGTGTTCGTTAGGTTGCTATGGAAATCAGCGAAGTGAGAGAGTTTAATACACAACTCTTATCTAATGCTGCGTGAAATATGTCGTATAGTGTTCACTAATGTCTCCAAGTTTTTGAGCCGACAGTCTTAAGCAGCACATATACAACTTAAACTTCACAGCTTTTACTGCCCATTGCTTACTGTTGGCGCATGCCAATACTCGGCATTGACGACAACCATTTTTTGGTAGCAGAGCTGCTCTCCCGCTTGGGAGCAAAACTCTGGAGCATTTTTTCAGCCATTCTGTGTGCGAAAACTCATTCTTGAGAGTCCAAAAGTACAAACATCTAACAAAAGGGGGGAAGTGAGCTTGGTGCACTTACACATGCACACCTTAACAGGACGTTACTTCAGCTCCATTCATCACTTAGTCATCTCTCTCTAGCATAACAATGGCCTGCTTCTTCATTGCAACGTTTTCGTCAAGTCAGCAGAGGAAGGAGTGATAGAATAAAGTTTGTGCGGCTCAACTCAAGGCCTACACATACATTGCAAAATTTTACGCAAACTCTACCAAAAAGGTTCGTGCTGAGAAGCAAACGCTGCATCATTTTAAGTCTTGGTTAGAACTCTTAGAGTGGTATTGGATTCAATATGTGAAATGGCACGAATTTTTGATTACCTTTGAAGAACCGAAAAAGGATCAACCTTATTATCTGCCTTCTCTTAAGCTTCCCAGTTTTTCAGGAACGGATGAGGAGTGGGAGCCATTTAAACAAGTTTTTAGCTCTATGATTAGGGACAAAGCAAATATTTCTGATGGGGATAATTTGCAACATTTTCTTAACTTGACACAAGGTTCAACTGCCCAAGGACTTCGTGGTCTTGAAATTATAGCCTCTAATTTCAAAGTCACTTGGGAAAAGCTTACACGCTGGTATGATAGTACGCAGTTGCGCTTGTTTAATAATTTAGAAAAATTGATCAAACTTTCAACAACTCGAAATCGTAATGTCAACGATTTAAATGAGCTTTTAGACAAATCTCAAGAGGCGTTCCATGTTCTTCGTGATTTAGGATGCCCCGTAGATACGTGGAGCTTTTAGTCCATCCATTGTATAGTACCGAAGATGGACACAAATTCGCGAGAGAACTAAGAGATTTCTCAAGAAGCAGTTCAGGGCTTCTGTTCCTATAAAAACTTGAATGCATTTTTAAAACGTAGAATTTAGTCCTTGGAACAGTCTTGGGCTGCTTTTGAAAAATCTGAGTCTCAACCCAATGCAAATTCTTCTCGGTTAAATCTCACAACTGCTAAGAAAGTTTTGGCACAACCCGCCCAAGCTAGTGACTCTTTAGCTGGCACTTCCAAAGGAACTTGCAATTATTGCAACGAGCCTCATGGTATTATCACTTCTTTGAAATTCAAAGACTTATCAAGCCAGCAACGGTTTCAGCATTGTAAATCACAAAAGCTTTGACTAAATTGCTTACATCCTTAGCACTTCGCTAATGAGTGGCAGTCAAGAAAGGGATGTAAGGTTTGGAATGCACTTCATCACACGATGCTGCATCCTGATAAGGCAAATCATTACTCACCTGACAAGGACAAACATCCAGTCAAAGGATCAAGTAATCCAATTGATCAAAAGGCTGAACAAACAAACAACTTGAATGGAGATCGTTTCTATGCAACCACATCTCATTTACCTTTAGTGAGTAATAAACCATCAAATTCTACGGTACTATTGGCAACAGATAAAATTATTTTATCGAACAAGCATGGTAACGCCATTGCAGTTAGAGCACTCATTGACCCAGCTTCAGAGAGCTCATTTGTTTCAACTCGAACCGTTCAGCTTTTGGAATTGGCTATAAAAAGATATATTACGCTCGGTGATTGGAATGGATGGAAAGGATGGAAATGAGACTTCAAAGTCTCAAGGTTCAGCTCAACTGACTATTTCTTAAAAAAGAGGTAAAAGCTTTTGAGTCAATTATACGGCTTTGGTTTAAGACGATCTAACTCGCCTACTACCAAAACAGCAAGTTTAATTTAGTAACCGGTCTTTTCTTCAGGGTCTTCAACTTACTAACTCATCGTTTCATAAACCTGATAAGGTTGGCTGTGTGATAAGATCTGATATCTATCCTCTTATTTTGAAAGATGGTGTCAAAAGGGGTCCTGTTGAAACTCCTATAGCTCAACAGTCAGTTTTTGGTGGACTACTGACAGGCAAAGTCTTAGCTTCATTACAGCAGTCAGCCTCAAGGGTCTAAGTGTTTCACACTTATTATCAGCCTTCGTTGTCTGAGACTCTCCAATGATTTTGGAAGATCAAGAATTTTCCAAATCAGAGCCTTCTTACACCTGATAAACAGCGTTGTGATGACCTTCTTATCAAAACCAACTGTTGTAATTTAAAAGACAGATTTGTGGTAAGGTTACCATTTTCATTGAATACATGATTCTCCAATACAAGAGATATAGCATTAACTTGTCTAATACGCTTGAAACGTCGTTTAAACGAAAACTAACTTTTGGCTGAGGCCTATAAGCGTTTTATGCTTGAGTATTTTAATCTTAGGCATATGGAATGTGGACCTTGGAATGAAGTTTCTCATGATTGTGACTATCTCCCACATCATTCAGTTTTTCATGCAGGAAGCAAAAAACTTAGAGTCGTCTTTAACGCTTTTCAAAAAGATCCAACAGGGCCTTCTCTTAACGACTGGCTCCTGCCAGGACCCAAGTTGCAATCCTATATATCCATTGTAATTACCAATTGGAAAGCTTTTAGACTTGTTTTTACCACTGATGTGGTCAAAATGATTCACCAATTACTGGTGCACCTAGAAGATCGAGACTGACAACGATTTCTGAGGCGTGCACACACAACATATCTAGTTGAAGATTATCGTACTACTACGATAACTTATGGTACTGCATCGTCTCCATACCTGGCCTTACGTGTCATGAAACAGCTCTCGGTCGATGGTCAGAGCACGCATCCCAATGCCGCTACGGTCTTACAACAAGGTCTCTATGTCAATGATTTCTTCACGCGGCATGACACTGCCAGCGGTGCCATCCATCTGCAAGATGAGTTAGTCTCTCTACTAAAGACAGCTAGTATGAGCTTGGACAAGTGGACGTCCAATGATCCTGCTATAATACCTAAAAATCTATCTTCATCAGAAGCTGAAACCGGGACTTTATCATCAATGGTGGTTGAGCTCAAAGGTGGATGCACTTACAACTACCAGCTTCAACATCTGGAGTCCATATCCATGCACGTGCGTAAACAGCAGTTATTAACGCAGTCTCATCTGGAGGTCAATCTAGTCTTCTAATGAACGAAACGAAAGTGACATCAATGGAGCGACTTACCGTTTCTCGATTGAAACTCTGTGGAGCGTTACTAGTAGTAAAGTTGGCTACAAATTAACTCTCTGCAGTTTTTTTTTGGACTGACTCTCAAAGAGTCATTAAGTGGCTGAGAAAGCATCCTTCACAGTGGCCTACTTTTATCGTTAATCGAACAAGTAAATTCATTACCACGTCCCCAGACGTGAAATGTAGACACATCCGATCAGCCCACAACCCAGCTAACTGTGCAACTGGTGGACTGGATCCAATTTAGCTGGCCAAGCACTCTGTCTGGTGGCAAGGACCTACTTGGATCACGGAGGAGTCATCATCTAGGCCAACTATCCAACGCCAATTCGACGCTGTCTAAGCCTATCTAGCTAAAGACTCACAGTTAAAGGAGAGTTCGACCGTACAAGTAATTGATTGCCTTCCCTTGTTCAAAAGGAAATTTTTTTTTTTGGCGGTGCTTAGAGTTCTGGCTTATATTGCACGATGGCAATCTAATGCTAAGCTACCACTTAATCAAAAAAAAACTAGAAGCTTTAACTATCGAAGATATCAGAAAAGCGAGATTATTTTGCTTCAGAGCAGCGCAGCGCTCTCATTTCAGAGAACCAATCTCAAGACTTAATCAAGTAGACGCTGTTCAGAAGAGAAGTCCCCTACAACGTCTCACTCCGTTCATCTACGACTAAGGCTTGCTTAGAGTTGGGGGACGACTTGAGCATGCATCTCTCCCACTAGACGGAAAACATCAAATCATACTGCCTGGTAATTGTCTACTCATGAAGCGACTCATCGAGGATACATATTCATTGATATATTAACGAAGGCCCACAGCTCAAGTGCTCTGTACAGCGTTCAACGTGAATGACTAGAGGCATGCGTGTAGTATCGGAAGTCTATCATCACTGCCCAAACTGTACGAGATACTCCAATTGATTCGCCCAACAGAAGATGGGACAATCAGCTGCGTCAAGACTCATACCATCTAGACCCTTTTACGTAAGTGGCCTGGACTGTGCTAGTCCCTTTCCGATGCGCATGTCAAAGGGACGAGGAACAAAATCATCAAAGGGCTATGTGGCCTTGTTTATCTGCTTATTTACTCGTGCAGTTCATTTAGAAATAGTTTCTGATTTTACATCTAAATTCTTTTTAGTGTCATTTTTGCGATTTTGTGCCCGTCAGGGTACATGTTTACAGCTGCCATCGGACAATGCAACAACAATTGTTAGAGCAGCTGCTGATTTCAAGAGACTCTTCAATTAATTCTCCCATTTCCCAAGGAACTACATGATCAGCTCGTACATAAGGGCGTAGAATGGAAATTCATCTCTCCCCGAGCTTCTTATCAAAAAAGCCCCTGGAAATCTGCTATTAAGAGCTTTAAACTTTGTTTTAAAAGAGTTTCAGGTAAAGCAACATTAACTTTCAAAGTATTGACTATTTTGGCTTCTAAAATCGAGGCTTGCCTCAATTTATGACCTTCAAAACCCATTCGAGAGGATCCTACCTAAGCGATAACTCTAACTCCAGCTCATTTTCATTTAGGGTCTTCTGATTTGTTTTTTTTAGAGCCATATGAGCCTTCTGCCAAGCCACTCAAGTTCGTAAGTCGATTAAAGCAAATCTCCTCCATGTAACTGTCCTTTTGAAGACGATGGAGAAAGAAGGTATTGTATCAATATCAAAAGACTAACAAATGGCTAGATTCCTAACCTAATCTGCAACGTGGAGATGTAGTCTTTATCAACGACGAAGTTACACCTCCAAAGTGGTAGCAACTTGAAGTCATCACTGCAGTTCACACAAAAAAAGACAAATTAGTCAGGGTAGTTACTGTTCGTACAACAAAGTCGACGCTCAAACGCCCTGTTGTGAAGGCTATCTGACTACCAATCGATGATAAAATTGAGACGTGCTACTCTTACTTCATAAATTGAACAATATGGTGTCTTATTTTAAGTTAAGTGATTCAAAATTTTCAAGTGTCTTTAGGTTTATGTGATTCAATAATACTGTTATGCGGGTTAGCTTTCACGATATATCTCACATACAAGTTCTTTTTTCTTTTAATAATGGTATTGTTGATTTACAATCAGTTCAGTTTTGAATTAATACTTTCAACAAATGAATTTGTACAAGTGGTTTTAAAGGAAAGTTTTGTTAATGTTTGTAAAATTGATTATACAAAATAATTGGCATTAAATTGACTCAATCAAAAGAAGGCTTTTAATCTCGTGATATTTTGTTAATTTTTTTTTTATTTCCTTCTTTTTTTGACGCTATATTGCGTCAAGGGGGATGGTTTATGGTCACTTGCAAGTGACCTTTATCCTGCACGTGAACGAAACAAAGAGACAAAGGGAGAAAAATAACGCGTGTGCCTGTAGTTAGTATGGAGAGGGGAGCGAAGAGCGTCAGATCCTCTACCACGTAAGCCGTGTATACTCGTAAACATTAAGTAAATCTATGTACGGCGTGTCTCCTCTCCTTCTCTTCCCTGGCACTCAGGCAAGTTCGAGAACCCGAGCGTCCTTCACTTCGGTTAAGGAAGTCGCAGTGGCTGGTCTATTCTCCCTCCACTACAGGTCACAAGCAGAACGCTAGTTTTTCTGCTAGTGCGCCGCTCTACTCCTGTCGATCTTGGCTTCAATAGCGAGTCAACATATTGTTTTTTCTTCAAGCATCTTCGTTGCTCTACGAAATCCCGAAAAGTTGTTCCTCGAAGAGGTTTGTTAGTTGGTCTCTTTGTCTCTTGTTTGATAACGTACTTGTTAGGCTACTGTCGCTTATTGATTTCAATGTCGTAATTTTTAAACAGTAAGGATTTAACGTTCAAAATACGATCGTACTCTATTTGTTATCGTGCCACGCAATTTTTTCGATAGCGATAACTTACAGTTTCATTATAAATATTTCTTTGGTTTCTCGTTAAATAAATAAAGTTGATTTTGCTGAATTAAGTTCGGCATCAATCATTGTTTCATAATAGGAGAATTGATTAAAGTTGCTTTGGGAATTAGCGAAGTGGGAGAGTTTAATACACGGCTCTAATCTAATGCTGCGCGAGATATGTCGTATAGTGCTCACTAACGTCTACAAGTTTTTGAGGCAACAATCTCAATCAGTACATATACAACTTAAACTTCACAGCTTTTACTGCCCATTGCTTACTGTTGGCGCATGCCAATACTCGGCATCGATGACAACTACCAATGCAAAGTCTCCATCCACTACTGCCATGAGAAGGTTTCTCGTCAGATGTAGATGCAACAACATTATTCTGAAGAAAATTACAACCAGTGCTAATAATATGTTAAAAGATACCTCTTACAGTTGTATTTACAATCGTTTCAATAACGACTTAACTCATAAAAATTTTAATTTGAAAAAATTATTATCATATTTAATAAAAGTTACACAAAATAATAAAGTGGAGAACGACTGTTATTTAAATCCACTGTATATAAATTAGTTTTGGATGGTAATTTCCTAAAATTATTTGTTTCAATATTTCAGAAATACAAATAATTGACTTAAAAACTCAATAATACCTACGAATCCAAATTTTAAACATTATTTTCTTTGTGCAATGTGACAACCACACTTTCTTATTATTCAGGATTCACTTAATATGTTTCTTATACCTTAGTACCAAAGTATGTTATGAAAGCCAGTGCGTACAAATCAGTATAAAACACAACTAAATAGATCACAATAAAACAATCGACATGATTGAAAATTTTGAGTACAACTTAACTTACATTAAAACTTGTGAGTATGTTAAAAATTTAATTTATTCTAAGCTCACACATATTTTAAACTTAAATATTTACAAACAACCTGACGTCACTTTAGACAAAAGAATTTTTCCGAAAAAAACTTAGTTCAACTAATAGTTTCGTAAGAAACCATCCAAATTTGCTAATTGCTAATTCAGACTAGAAAAACCAGACTGTGATTATAAAAAAATCACTTTTCACTAGAAAAGTACACATTCTTTTTAATAATAATACTTAAAAAAAAAATTTTATCTTATTATTAAAATACGTTATGATATAAAAGTTTTTTTAAACAGCCTAATGGACAATGGTTAATTATGCAACAAGTTTTATAAAAATAATTAAGTCCAGACTAATACAGCCCTTACAAAATTTTATAGCCTGCATTATATTTATTCATTATATCAATATAATACTTAAAATTTCAATACCCTTTTACACGCCATCATTTCTAAGATAAGTAGTACCATACATTTTCTGTTCAAAACAGTATATCTTGAATTAAAAAATGATGTTTATGCCTCTAAATCACATATCCACAATAGCTTCCAATTCAAAAATTTGACATGTAACATTGATACACCAGATAATTTTTCTTTCGCATTCCTCGATGTTACATCATTGTTCACGTGTGTTCCATAAACGTTAGATTTAGATAGTTTAAATAGAACTATTAAAAAATTTAAACAACGTAATATCTCTGTTGGTAAAATAAAAGAATGCTTAAAACTTTCATTTGATAACACATTTTCTTTATCGAAAAAAAAGTTTTACCATCAGATTTTAATACACCAATGGGTTGGCCATATCGCTGATGTTTGACAACATGGTAATGGATGACCTTGAGTTGGATTGTTTGAGGAAACTTAAATAGAATTTTAATACTCATTATATGCAGAAAATCTGAGCATATTCAAATAATGAGGTGAAATATGGTGTACCTGGACATTTTTTAAAAGAAAAAATTAATATGTTATGTCCATAGCAGAATATCAGATTGTTGTAACAAAAAAAATCGTTGTCACTATTAAACGACTATTTTTTCATTGATTCAAAAAAAATTTCTTTGTTTACACTACAAAGTAATTAAATAATTAATTTTAAAAGTTAACATCGTTTGTAGCTATAGTCGGACACAATAAGATTCCATAGAACAGGAGGCAGTAGACTGACATGGAGAGGTATTACTTGGGCAGTAATGTTAATTAAAGGGCAATATTACCCTGACAAAGTTATGTACTCTCAAATATGCGCTTAAATAGTTACGCTACTAACTTCTTGATTAATAAACTGATTACTATATGGTTATGGATCGTGACCACTTCTAGTGCAGTTTGAGTACTTACGAACTTTTTATGCCATAATTATGTAAAAGGAACCACGCACTACGTATTTTCAGTTAATTATGTTAATTTGACTACTGCCTACTACAAATTTCAATGCTATTTAATAAAGGGTAATCTTAAACGGTCTAGAAATTACAATGAGGAAGAGTTACATGCTAAATTATTTATTTATCTTACAATACTTGCGTTTGACAACAAAAAATTTGATGATTTATTTAAATAATAATCTGCGGAGTTTAAATACAATTTTGTTTACTGTTACATACGTATACAGTGAACCCCCCCCCCCCTTCTATCTCAGTTTCACCCAAGACTCACTGGAAGGGACACCACAGTGTGTTGACACATAACGTACAACGTTTTTAGTTAAAAATTTTACTTCTATTCCTGACACTTATCAGGATAAAAATCTTCTTATTAAAAACATATTTTTTTTGGAATCCATGCAGTTTATTTTATCAAATAATAAGTAGTAAAAAGTGATAAAATATAACTATTTCTGAAAAGTACCGTGCGTTCTTTACGCCATAAAATAATTGTTGGCCCTAAAGGGTCGTTTATTTGCACTGAAGATTGACAATATCTTTGAGAAGAGGACCAGACTCATTGCTGTAACTGATGCATTCCTCAAACACGAGAAATCTCCCTAGCACGTATATTAGCAGCTACTATTCTCGTTTAAGGATTTGGCATTTTGATGCCAAAATCCAAACTTAAAAATAAAGTGTCAGTAGTTGCCAACGGAATAAAAAGAACAATATAATTTAATAATGAAAATCGAAGTTAAATAAACATCAGCCAGTATAAAAAAGGTCAAGTTAGATTGTAGAGAGTCGAAAGAAGTTTTATGCTAAAAAATTTTAATTTGGCCGTAAAAAATCAGAAAAATATTGAGGGCAGTAAATCAAACAAAACTTTTTATTTAATACACTTTAACTATACAAATTAAAATTACATAAATATTTTTTCATTCATATGGAGGAGAAACTGAGAAAACAAAAGAAAACTGCCAAATTGCACGATTTTTATACACTAAATATTTTTTTCACACCTTATACGCTCAGGAACGACTAAAATTTTATGAGATATTCAACTTCATGAAATGTGTTAACACTCTTCATCGAATATGTAGTGATGTGCGTGTCTCATGTTACTAAAGTGTACTACTATTTGTTAGTTACTAAAGTAACTACATAAAATTTATTGTGAGAGTGTCTCAGTCAATCTAAAGTAATATTGAAAACATTACTACTAGCCCACTAGTAGTCAAAAGTCATTACTCTCTTTCAGAGCCGTTTTGAAGTTAGTTATTATAAGTACCATAAAAAAATTTCTAATAAAGTTATCGTAAGTTTTAACAGCCCGTGACACATTAAAAATTGCAATTGAACTGCTATACAAATTTGGAATCAATTGGTTTAGTAGTTTACGAGACTTTTTAAACATACAAACAAACGCTGTCTCTTTATATTATAGTAAGATTATTGTGCAGTAAAATTGAACTGCAGAGCTGTCTGGTTACACCTACTAATTTTAAAGTATTCGAGTGTACGCTCCTTTACCTTATAAAAGATTTTTAACAATTATAACTAACATTTGAAATCCACATATCAACTCCTCATTGAACTAAAATCAATTTCTTAGGCATTCCTTTTATTATAAATGATAATTATACTATTACCAACTGGTTTTTTAGACCACCTGCCTTAAGTCGTTTATTAAATTAAAAGTTGTATAACGCTGTCTCATAAAAAATGAGTATTATACTTAATCTCGTAGACAGAGGGATTTTCTGATCTGATCACCAACCTCACAAAAATAATCTTATTATAGTAAAATGGTACATTACGACACTAGGATATGAAGTTCAAACATAAGCGCCCAAAGAGCGTGGTTGTTGTGCGTCAGTGCCCAAATCAAGTATAATGTTTTCCTTACCAAAACTTTTTTGCCTAGTTAATAACTTTGGGCTTCAGGGCTGAAAAGTACTTGGAGCACAGAAGTGGTAAGAAATTCTCTACCCGTGGGCCCAAAGTGATAACAAGGGTGCAAATCGTGACTGAAGGGGACTAAGCGGCAGTTTCAGTTTGTGCCTATGGTGCGAAAAGTTCATTAGATAAGTTCTTATCCACTCAAATTTTAGAAAAACCTAACCATGTTTGTGAATAATTAAAGCATAATCGAATTTCTTAACAGCAAATAAACATAAATTTTATCAATATGCTTTATATACGCTGAATTGACTCAACCTCTTATACCCTTCAAAATAGCTATTACAAGGAATTGTAGCGAAAAAATGGCCGAGTTACTGTTATGAAGAGATGTATATCAATAAACATCTGGTCATAACTCAGGTGCACTGATGGCTAATTAACACTGTGCTTGTGTAAAAGAATGCCATATCTGAGCCTACGGGTGATGATGAAAAAAAAAAAAAAAAAAGGTTTCACTTGTGAGTCAGTAGCAAAGTAAATCATTCTTTTATGCAACAAAGATAGGTGTGCTCTTCAAAATATCAAATGCTGCTTACAGTGTAATGTTAACAACAGGTATACCTACTGAGTTTACTTTTTTGTGCTTTCGTTTGCAGCAGAAAACTACGCACTAGCACCACAAAAAATTCAAATTTCAAATGTAGCATTGAAATATACTTCCAGCCAGACTTAAGAACTTTTTGGAACCTTAACTTCTCCGACGTAGGAAATCAATACATTCAAGAGAGCTGTAGTAATTCTAATTGTAATAAGATGTTCTGACAAAATAATCCTGTATGTCTGTAAAATCGCTGTGTAATTTTTAACCAGCGCCCAATACCATTTCTCAATAAGGCAGATTGTTTCTATATCGACCAATGTTTCATTTATTTTACGAAATAAGAGAAACCTTATAAATAAGCAAAGTATCTACGTATAAATATATATTTTTGCACATACACATAAGGCGTTTCACGTGAGACGTCACAGGCTTGCGGTGCGAGCTCTAAAAATCAATGTATTCAGCTTATTTTCTAGGCCTCATTCCTATCTTTAAAAAATGTTTCGAATATTATTTTCGATGTATTATTGAGTAAGCTTTTCGATTTTGTGGTTAGTTTTTCGAAAAAATACAATTTTTATGTAAAGAAAAGCACAAAAG